ACCAATAGTTCTGGATGGCCCCTGTTGTCCAGGTAATCTGGTTTTACAGACTCTCCCTTGGAGGGATTTCACTTGCTCCCCACCGCAACTGCAAGCTAGAATCCAGCCTAGTCACCTAGCCACCTTTGTCACAGTCTACTATTACACACACACACCCCTTTGAAGAAACTTATGGAAAATCTTTTGACTGCATTAAGAATTCACTATTGAGAACTAGACAAACTTTGGTATGTTAATTAACACAATACTTATCTCAGTGCTGCTTTGTGTGGTAAGCAGCTTCAAATAGACAGCAGTCGATGAAACAAGAATGCAGTTGCTCAGTGTATCAAAAAGTTGATAATAGTTTTTGACTGCTTCTGGACAAAACATACAGGATTTTCCTTGCATTAGATTGCAAGCTTTCAGTCCCTTTTGAATTACATTTCTGCTTTTATGTACAATTTACTATTGCACTTTTGTTTCATTGTTGATGGATATTTCCTTAAAACATGAACATAACATGAATTTCCTTCCTATTAGGAGACTAGCTTAACTTAGAAGTCAAAACATTTTATTAAAAAAAGTAAGTTCATTCTCTGAAGAGTTCATCTTAAGGATCTCTTATCTGTAAGAGTTCCAGTATCTTAAGAAGTCTCTGTGCCCTAAGTAATTGAAAGGCAAAGCCCAAGTAATAATAATGGTGATTGAACAACAGAGATTTAGCAAAGGTCCAGAAGATTTTCCCTAAATGGGAAAGGATTTTTTTCTCCCAAACAATCAGTGAAAGATTCTGTTATTTTAAACTGGGGATTTTCAATTTTAAAAAGGAGATAAAATAGATTAAAAAAATTAGAATCAATTATATAACACGATTGGTGTTGTCAAATTACAGGCCAGTTCTCATTTGGTAGATTAAAGATGAACATAGGATTTCTGTCGGTTGTGAACAAAACAGTGCTGTTAAAAGTGGCAAAGGCCAGGACTAAATCTGCAGATAAGGCAACAGGACTTGGGCAGCCAACAGGATGATTTTAAGAGATTTGATCCTGTTAATTGCAAACTCATCCCAAGGACATTGAAATGGAACCCTTTATTTATCTATTTTACATACAGCAAGGGATCCACATCCTCTTCTGTTACCACTGAAGCAGGAATACATTTCATTTAGCTCCAGGGTTAAACATGGATCCAGTGCTCTTTGTGGGCTAGCTGAGGCTCACCAGCCCTCTCCTCCCAGAGGAACATTTGCAGGAGTCTAAACTCCATCCTTCACGTTCTTCAATTCCCTAACATGTAGGAAACGAATTTTCAGGGTTTGCACAAGAGATACAAGCTGCATCCTGCAAAAAAAAACCAAAACCCCCAAAAAACAGAGTTTGTACTGTGGAAGGTCTAATCCTCCGTCTCTTCTCAGGCCACTAGCAAACTCCTGTAGGTCAGCATCTTCTTTCTTGTTGAGGCTCTGGATCATTGATAGCTCATGGATCATTAGACTAAACCCTCAGCCAGCAACGGGGATGTACAGTGGAAAGCAGCTCAGCTCTCCAGAGCACCACACTCGGGGGTTGTTTTTTTTTGCTTTTGTTTCCCTGAAGAAAAGATGAAAGGATTGAACCTGTGCTCCCCTCCCAGCATTGCAAGAACCAGGAACACAATTCAAGCAGATTTGTGGCCTTGCCAAGGCCTCAGATGGAGACTGTTAAAGCTAAGTTCATGCACACAAGTTCTGGAAGGTTTTTATTGTTATTTTTTAAAATATAAGCCTTTTCAGATGCTTTGTGAGAACCATGTAATTCACCTATTTGCTTTAGTAGGAGTAAAGATTTGAACAAAGGAAGCAAACGGCCCTGTGGTCGTTTTACTGAAGATTTGTACAAAGGAAGCAAACGGCCCTGTGGTCTCACCTGGTAGGGGAAACTTCACAGCAGAAATGGAGCATTAAGATAAAGAAAAGAAAACTGAAGCACTCCTGGTACCCTGACAACTGAGCTTGTCAAGTTTCAAGCAGAAAGTAAAGGTCTGGTGAACAGTTGGATAGGAGCCCTCCAAAGAGTACCCATACTCAATAATGCAGGCTTTGCTTTAGCAGCAAGGAGGATGCTGCAGTCAGTACTGGGGAAGGACCCTTGCATGGATGAGGTGCAGAAAGAATTGCTGTTGCTCCCAGCCAAAAGCAGTAAACCATAGAGCCTGTCAACTTACGGCTGGCCATAAGGCTCCCCTGGCACTTTTCACAAGAGGATCCTAATTTAATCACCGTAAAAACATAGGGCTAGAAAGTGCTTTGAAGGTAAAGTAGTCCTTTTCCTTGCCAAGGCAGGTTAAGCATCCCTACATCTTCCTCAACAGATGCTTGCCTCTGGTGTGATCACATTCTGCCTCCTCAAAGCATCCTGTGAAGAAGTGTCTGACTTGTATGGCTGGCACAGAGAGTAGACACATTGTACCCCAGACGTAGCTGCATGGTCACTCATGCCTACACTACAGCCTTCTGATGACACAGCTGTCAGTTGGTGGTCAGAAGAGCTGTGGTTTCTGACTGACATTACCCACCTATAAACAACCCTGCCGTGTACACAGTTATACCAGCAATATGAGGATGGCTTGTTTTGCTCATGAGAAGTGGCTCTACTATGTGTCTGCAGTGTACAGCTGTACCAGTGCCCACCCCAGCAAGGCTTTGCCTGTAGACCGTTCACAGCCTAGATATGGCCTTGAAAACATAGGTGGTATATGCACTTTAACACAAACCATCCTGAAGTGTGTACCAAGCACCACATATGCAGGAGACAATCCATATGGTTGCCTTCAAAGAGAGCACATACTTTTTCAACACAAGGAAAGTCTCAGCTACAGCCCTCCCAGTAAGTAAAACATTGTCCCCATCTTTCTGATATCAACAATGGGGAGAGCTGGTAATTACTTGTCAGAGGTCACGCAACAAGAGCACTGCTAGGGACTAAACCAACATGACTAGTCTCTCTCACTTGGCCAAACCCAGGGCAACTCAGTGGCAGCTATTTTTGCATCATACACCAAGAGACCAAATCCAGGGCTGCTGCCCTCACCCTTCCCATCAGTTATGCTAACCAGTAGGCACCAGCCTTCCTCTCCAGGGAAGATTGTTAGGGCAGGAGGTGACCAACCTGTAGCACATATGCCATAAGGGGCACAGATAGCCTCTGTGTATGGCATGCAGCAGATTGGAGAGAGCAAGAACAGCGGCAGACTGGGAAGGGAGCACAGGGCAGGGAGCAGAAAACAAAGCAATAGATCATGCACGAAACACAGGACAAGGTGCAGGAAGCAAGGCAGCAGAACAGGTAGGGGAAGGGGAAATCACAGTAGCACTTGGGGAAGGTGTGGGGTGTAGTGCCTACCAAAAAAGGCCAGACCCTGCTGGTTTAGGATTTAATCTTCAAATTACTGACTGTGAACCCACAGCTGCTATGAGTGGTGGTTTTGTTTTGTGGAAAGCTACACTGATGTTTTAGGGTGAAGGGAAAGTCCATGCTTAAGCAGGAGTCCTCTCAGCTTGCTAAGAAACTCATGGGATGAATTTTTAAATTCTTCATCAGTTTACCCAAGCACATAGGCTGGTGTTTTCACAGGAGTCTGGAGGAAGTAAATGCCCAAATTCCATAGGCATTACTGGGATCTAGGTACATAATTCCCTTAGGCACCTGTGAAAATCCCAGCTTCAGTGAATACCATTTTCCAAACGCCAAAGCATTACCCAAGTGCTTCACAAAACCAACAGCACAACAGAAATGCTTGTATATCTACTTCTTCCTTCCCCTGGGCCAACCATGTTGTCTTGTTGGGGTTTGTGGGCATGAGCTGGCCAAGCATTCACCTTCCCAATCCTCTCAGCAGAAATTAGGTCTCAGATGTATCAAAGGTTAAAGCATCCGCCTACATGAAACGCATGTTGACTTTCTAAAAACCTAACTGTCTTTTAGAAACCCTTGCTGTTGAAAGCCCTTGGTGCTATACATGTTACATGGGTGACATTTTCCTATCCACCTTCCTGTACAGTACAACCTGGAAAAAAAAGGCTCAGAAAACCTGCTCTTGTCATAAAAGAAAATAATCTTCATTTTTGGGAACTTGTTGTGGTAGCTGCCTCTATGCCAAGTGCAAAGACCTGTTTCACACGAGGCCATTGGGAACCCCAAGTTGCTTATGAAATACCTTGATGGCACCTTGTAATTGAGGCTACCTGAGAGAGGATGCCCCCAACTCTTCCCAGAAGGAAGGAGCTAAAGTCACTTCAGCCCACATGGGACAAAGGTTTTAGGAAGGGGAAGCACTTGACCCATACAGTCAGAAGTGAAGAATATCTATTTAACAGGAAAAACAGAGGCTGAGGCTCTAAAAACTGGGTTCAACAACAGACTAGCTCTACTCCCAATAAAGTCAATGGTAAGACTCCCACAGAGAAGAGAGGTAGGCTAACACTGAACTCTTTATCATGACAGACCCAAGCCACAGCAGGCAGGAGCTGCAGGTGCCTGACACCACCACTTGGGTCATCCAATTGGCCTTGTCAGGTCATTGCTACCAAAAGTTGACCTGCACACAGATTCTCTCTAAAGGATTCAAAGGGGAAGGAGCAGGAAGGGAAGCAGATCTAGTGAAATCTTTCAAGGGAAGACTGCTGAAAGATGAATTTAAGTGTTAGTAGTACCTATTCTCATTTGGATTACAGATATGGGTATATATCCATTTAATCAAATTTGACCCAATGTCTCTGTAAATCATGTTCATAAATCCCAATTCATTAAATGGCTTCAGGAATATTGCTTTGTTTCTTTTTTTAAGATCCCTAGAATGAGGTCCTTAATGCAAAGCTAAAACTCCAAGTCAAGGGTGGGTATTGCCAAGTAGAAAAAAAACACAACACATAGCCAATCCCCAGCAGAGAAAAAGGAGCTTTCCCAAAATATAAGACCTGCAGATAGCCAAAAGTAGGAAAAAGCAAATAAACATCAGAATGAACCACACAAGAGGGGGAAGCCATAATTAAGGTTGGTTTTTGGTTTTTATTATAAAAGAAACTATTCCGAAGTCCAAATGCAATGGAATATATATGTCGGCACCACCCAAGATACCCAAGTATAAAATCCTGGAACATTTGAAGCCACTAGAAGTGCCCTAAGGGGTACCTAGGGCCAGGCTGGGGGGTCAGAAAGCCCCCCTCATTAGTAAAGTCCTGACTAGATGGCAGCTAGCTGGAGAGCCAAGACAGAACAGTAACATCAATAGTCTCTGTAAAACTGTACAGTTTTAGAAACTTGTAAGAACATTATTAAAATCTAAAACTTGTTTCTTTATCAAAAGCCCTGCTTTAGTGACATGCTAATCCCACTGGAAAAAGTAAAACACCCACAACCCTGTCAATAAAGTGGTTAAGTTGACCAGCCAACTCATAGCTTAGAAAAGCCTTCTTGTGTTCGCCACGCAAGTGCATGCGGTTCACAGACTTGAGAGTGTGTTCCAATCCTTACCATGAGCTCTGGACTCTGAACAGCTATCCAGTGAGCAACAGCTAATTCACAATGCAAAGTGGAATTTCACAGCCCAGCTACCCTTGCACCACAGGGAGCCCTCCCGTATCACTCTTGTCTATCCCATACTGGAGTTGCATCTCCAATGATACCTTCAGAAACTCTGCCTGCTCTAGCTGGCCGAGCGATTGGAACGTCATCTTTTATTATCCTTTTAAAAAAGGAAAAACAACTTCATATAATTTTTTTGTTTTTATATTTAAATATAAAAATACTACCTCACTCTGTGTTATGAGCAGACCCCATGGCTTCCAGTGACAGAGTAGGGAGGAATTCTGCTAACAGCTCTCACATTTAGCTAGGACAACAAGATGCCCAGAACATGGCCAGAGAGGAAGGAATGAGAAGGGAATTCATCACAACTGCCTTACTCCCTTCTGAATAACCCTAACTTTGAGAACAAGGTCTATGGAGAGCTTATCATGCAGGTTAATAGCATATGAATGCAACTATTGGGCAAACCCTCCATCTTCCCGTCACCCATTGCACCATCTGTCCCTGGAAGCCACTGGATCCTGCCAGACATACAGAAGAATTAGATGAAACAGTGGTTAAAATTCTCTCTAACCTTCTCTTCCCCGTCTTCTGAAGCATCAATAACAAATAGACACCGAAAAACTAAACTCTCCTTCCCCCCACAAGACAACAAGAGTTATTCAGACACAAACATGGTAACTCATGCCCTCAAAATTACATCTAGGAGGGAAGTTTAAAAGTTGGGGATGGGGGAAGGTGTTGTCTGTTGGGAGCAGTTCATCTAGTTCTTGTACTCAAAAGGCTCATCCCCAGTCTCGTTGAGGAGACATGTACGGACTAGTGCCTCCGTCACAGCATAAGGGTCACAATTGGCAGAAGGTCGGCGGTCCTCAAAATAGCCTTTCTTCACTTGGCCCACGCTCCTGGGGATACGAATGCTGGCACCACGGTTGGCCACACCAGCTGAGAACTCATGGATGCTTGATGTTTCATGGAAACCTGTAAGGCGCCTAGCATTGTCCAGCCCCCCTTTCGGGTCATAAGTGCGGATGTGGTACTGGTGCCGTTTGCCCAGCTTCTCAATGGCTTCCTCAATATACCTGGAGAGAAAGAAGGTGGAACACTGAGCACCTGAGAAACAATACCACCTGGACCATCCTTTGCTTCATCCTGAAAAATGAAAGAAGCCCCCGACAAACCCTGGGTCTCTTCCCTTCCCAGTTACGATATATACTAGTCATGGGCCTCCTCCTCACTACTAATGGGTTAGTGGATTCACTTTCCCTGAGCTCCACTTCCTGTGATCATTTCATGACAGTCTATAGTGAAGCAGTAATTTTCCCTCCTTTCATTTAACACCAGATGAACTCCTAAAAACAGTCTGATCGTGGACATGCTTCCAGAGCTAGCTGATCCAGTGTGCTAGTGCTGGAGGAGAGGTAGCAGTTTTACACCACTACTCAGAGAATCTGTCATTCCTTAGTATAAATACAGTCTTTGGGTACCATCACAACTGCAGTGAGCGCTGGTTACTGGCACAGTACCAGCAAGATCTACCTTCCCTGGGTATTCAAGCTAAACTCTTGCATGGTGCTAGATATGTAGCTGGCAACTTGAGCAGGGCCTTAAGTGCAGACATTTTGCTACTACTGATTTAATCCACTTCCCTCTAGCTGACCTTTCCAGACTAATGCAACTATCCCAGCTGAGGAGATACTTACTTGAGACCGCCTTCTTCCCTCATGGACTTAGTGCTGAAGTTAGTGTGACAACCAGCTCCATTCCAATTCCCAGGGATGGGCTTGGGATCAAAGGACACAATCACCCCAAAATCTTCACACACCCGATGGAGGATGAAGCGTGCAATCCAAAGGTGATCTCCCATCTCAATCCCTTCACATGGGCCCACCTGGAACTCCCACTACAGAGGGCAAAAAAGGAAACCAATAGCTCAGTCAGGTGAAGAACCATTCTCTGCAGGATGCTGTTCATCCTTCTGCCCCTCTGAGGAATTTGCAAAACCAAGGTACAAATTGAATGTAGTGGCAGGGTCCCACAGCACAATCTTCTGCTCTGCCACGTTTTGGTCTGGACCTTCATATGCCAGAGGTAGGTGGAAATTAGGTTAATTACCTGTGCTGGCATCACCTCTGCGTTCGTCCCTCCAATTTTAACCCCAGCATAGAGACATGCTCGGTAATGGGCTTCCACAACGTCTCTGCCATAGGCTTTGTCTGCCCCAACTCCACAGTAATATGGGCCTGCAATGACACAGGACAAGATTCTTCAAACCATTTATGATACTTCAGTGAAGAGCAAAGAGCATACTACACTCAAGATGGCATGGGGTTTCTGGGAAACCCCATCAATTGGTCCTTGTATTGTTACTCCAAATGAACCAGGTGCCTGAAAGCACAGGTCGCATTGAAAGCCAACAGGCCGTTACTACTAATTCAGGCACTTCAAAAACCCCACTTGTCATAGTCAACTCCACTGAATTTGCAGTGCATTTTAATCACCGCATATTTTTTAATTAAATGCATTTTAATGACTATACCATGATCTTAAAAACGTCATTGTTTAGTGACAGTGCTTCAAATTTTAGCGACCCACGGTTTTAAGAAGTCCTTGACTAATTCATTTCACATGAAACATTTTAGCCATCTCCCAGAGCTTCATGATTGATAAGACTACAATTTGAGGTTAACTGTTCATGGCTGATTTGGACACTAAATAGCTGGAAGCTTACCCTGAGGCCCAGGGAATCCATTGGAGGGCCAGCCAAATGGATGTCCATCTGTCCCTAGTAGAGTGTATTCTTGCTCCATCCCAAACCAGGGGAGCTGGTTGGATACCATATCCATAATCCGTTTACAGGTGTGTCTTAGATTTGTCTCTAGAGCAAAAGAAAAGCACCATGCTCATTAACTTACTATTCTGCTAACCAACAAGCATCCTGTTACTGAAAAGATTCTAAAACAGCTCTTATAGTAGAAACTTTCAGACAAAGCCACTCAAAGCCATACAGGCTCTCTGGGAGGACTCAGTTTACACCCCAGCCTTCTTTCTACACAGTGACTGAGAAATTCGGATTCAGAAATTCAGATTCAGAGTGTTATTTTACTCTATGGCCTGTCCCCATCATCACTAGCTAGATAAGATCCAAATACCAGGTAGGGCCACTGGCCTGCATTGCTGCTGTAGTGCTCAGTGCTCTCTTATGCCTTTATTGGCAATGTTCAGTACTGTTACCTGCCAGAATTTGGGTAAGACACAGAACTTGTCTGACAAGGCTTACATATTGGACCTCAGGAGGCTTTGTTCCCTTGTGTTCAAATTATCACCTCTGCCAGCAGCCCCAAATCTTTTCCTTCCTCCACTCCATTCTTTGCAACTTCTATGTTCTCCCCTCCTCATAAAATACTTTCCAGTCCCCACATCCCTCCCTATACTGGTGTCCCTCCTGTAGAAGACTCCCTTGTCTCCCCAGTACACGTTACACTGACTCGTGTCATTTCTTTCTATCCCAGAGCTGCCAATGATAAGTTTACAGAAAAAACATGTTTCCTCTCAGCCTGTCACACCACATGTTGTTTGCCCTATATTTAAGCTCTTCAGGGCAAGGATATTCATAAGCCTTGTACAATATTAAGGCATTAATGGTGCTTATATAAGTCTTCCATTAACTATGCCTGTGACAGTTAATCCACTTCTCAGCTTTCTCTACTCCAAGGCAGCAGACTGTTCTTCTTCGCCCTTCCCACAACTATTGCAGCAGGGGAGAGGGAAGACTGCATCCTACCTGCCGTCTGGCGGTTGTACTTGAAGACCTCACAGAGAACCAGCTTGTTGGGGTCCTTTCGGAAGGGGTCACGGAACATGGCGGCAGGTTGTAGGTACATATCGCTGTTTGAGCCTTCAGACTGAAAGGTACTAGACCCATCAAAGTTCCACTCTGGTAGATCTGGAGCAGGACAGAGAAGTATGTCACTGGATTAGCACCATTTTCCTGGATTAGCAATTTTCCATAACCCAAGAGGTGAGCCTACTAATTAATCTGGAGGTGGGGGAGGAAAAGATACACAGGGGAGGGAGAGGATGCACCTTAAAAGCGTCAGCACTTTTTTTTTTTTGGTTGCCGATTTTGTTTCAAGTGAAAAACAGGCTACTGGAGATACCCTATGAAAACACCAAGAAGCTGAAGGTATGCAGAGCCCTGTTTAGCTAGTAGAACTGCAAGCTGCCTTGGCACAGACATTCCCTACTTTGCAGGTAAGTCAAACACCCAGACATTTTTCTATTGAGTCTGGAGTTCTGGCCAAAAGAAGGGAAGCCCTAAGAGTTAAGTCACAGGTAAAAGGAAAGGGGGGAGCCCAGTGTGTCCTCACAGATGTTTCCGAGTGGTAGGTGGCCCTTGCAATGCAGCCATAAAGAAGCTCTTCCATATGGGGCACAGCCATGAAGTCAGCAGAGAGAACTCTTCATAAGCTAGTACAAGGCCCTGCAACGCATCCACTGGACAGTCCAATGCTGTTTGTGGGAGAAAATTTCTTCACCTCACCTCGTCCTCTCCCTCCCTCTCCCACTACTGAATTTGTTTTTGGGGGTGTATGCGCCATGATGGTGTTAACCCCACCCAGTCTATTATCTCTTTCATATGTTGGAAGTCAAGAGGATTTAAGCAAGCTTTGCCAGCCACTTCCTTGAAGGGAAAAAAAAGCTCCGATTACGAAATGAAAACAGCGGGCATGACCAATTAGTGTCTGGCCAACACCATGGCAACTAGTGAAGAAATCCTAATGCTATTAATACTGTGTAAGTAGGAACTGTTTGTTCTGACTGACACAAGCTCTTAATGACACGACATACTTCTAGTCTTTCCTTCACTTCCTTCTTGCAAACCACTTCTGATCAGAATAAAAGCTTAATCGCTGATGAGTAAGCAAGCAATGAGTCTCCTACAGACAGGCACTGCTCTGTAGCAGTGGTTCTGCTTACACTTCAGCCTGGGAACATAAAGTAGTCTTCTGCGTCTCTCTCTCCCACTCCCTCTTCTTGTCCCTCTTTTCAAATTCATTCACTGGGGGAGAAGTTGGAGATATCCCATGACATATTTCTGCTCTTGACAGAAGCTCATAAAGCAAGGCATCAGATGCACTACCCCTTTCAGTTGGTAGGAAATGCCACCTCTTGCTCCTTAAAGAGGAGGACCTTTACCTTTCATCGGCAGAGCAAAGAACTTGTCACACAAGTTACCATTCCCCCAAAAAGGCCAGAAGCCCCTTTATTGCTATGATCCAATCCCACAGATGGAAGCTGACTACTACACAGTACTTGTAAGCCCAACATCCTGTTCTGCTCAGCTGGACTGGCATGGGGTCCATCCCACACCCGTCTTCTTACCTTCAATGCTCTTTGGTTCATGGTCCAATGTCCGGGTTTTACAGCGCAAGTGCTCTCCAGTCCCATCAATCCAGATGTACATAGCTTGCACTTTCTCACCCTGGGGCAGCTTCATGTACATGTTCTTTATAGCTTTGCTCAGGTGGGAACTTGCTGAGGTGGCCATAGTGACAGTGTGTTACAAGAGTCCTGCAAGGAGGAATGGAAAATCCAACTATGACCGTTGTCCATGTTCAAAAGGGGCTCACACCCCTTCAGACTAACCAACCAGTAGAGTTTTGGTGCTGAACAACAGATTAAAGTTTTTTCCTGGATTGCCCCTATCCAGTTATACCATGGTATCATGGTCTCACAGCTGAGTATCTGGCTTTCTACATACAAAGGGAACATGGTAGGTTCCATTCTAGGATATAGGGATGTGTCTATCAATACAATGGTAGTGAAAGGATACAGTTCGGGACAGAAAAGGAAAGTCATGCAACTAGAGTAGGTCTACAAAGCATTGGGTTAATTTCTATTTCCTGCCCTGGAAGTAGAATTGGCTCAGCCTTCTCCGTCTCCAGCTTCTATTAAGGGTCACTAAGGAGCAGACCTTGAGGGCTTATTAGCTCCAACATGAATGTTACATTTCACAAACACTGAAGAAGTCAAGCTAAAATATGAGGACATTTCATTCTTCATTGCTCTGAAGGAGCATTGTTACTCAAGTTGGGGATGACAGGGCCTTCTTAGCACTGAAGTTCTTCCTCCACTCCGGTAAGGACCACTTCCCAACCAGAGCTCCATGATGAACCCA